GCATGTGGTACCCAGATGGCTGAGCTCCTCCAAGCCCCATATCCACACTCTCCCATAGCAGGAGGAAAGCAAAACAAAACTGCTATGCAAATGTCTTAACATATATGGGTCCCAACTGACTGCCCCATCCCCAAACCCATCTCTATGGCCAGAGGGATGGGATTTTCTATTAACAATTGATTAAACCATCCAAACAACATGATTGGAAAAGGGAAAAGGGTGGTTTCTCAAAGGAGATCCAAGGCCACAGGAGGGAAAAAGGAGGATGTGCAGAATGAAGTAGATTACGTTATACCACATTAGAAAGAACAAAGCTGATTTCCTAATCTTGCTCCTCCAATATCATTAGTCCTGGCACTCAACTTACAATTCAGCCCCTATGTATACCATTGAATCTGAAGCCAATTAACACTAGTAATGACAGTTACTAGTAATATTAGTAACAATAAAAATAATAGCTACTACTTATCAACAGTACATGCTTTGGACCTAGATACTGTATTAAGCACTTCACATATATTATTTCATTTCTCCTCTAACCTCAATTTTTAGATGAAGAAACTAAGCTCAAAGAGGGTAAGTAACTTGCCCAAGATCACACACTCATAAAGAATATAGCCAGAATTCAAGCTGAGATCCGACTTAGAAACCATGTTTTAACCAAAACCCGACACTACTTCTTCATAATGTTCATACCTATGTCCCTGACCCACCCTTAAGCTGATGTTATGTCTTCCTTCTGTCCTGGACCTTAACACATTGAAACTTTCCCACTGCTGCTAAAATCTTTGGCCATGTGTGTGACTCTCTTTGATTGGAGAAAACATGTCACCTTACACTTGCAAGGTGCTTTACAATACTTGAAACAACAGATGTGAAGTCTGTGGGAAGCAGGAAGCAGGCCCTTCACCCACCCAGAGTCGCCAGGGGGAGGAACTGACTTCATCACTCATCTGGGCAGCAACAGCCTGGTTTCTATTACCCACTAGAAGTGGTCTCATTAAAGAAGAATTACATGTGCTTCTGCACTGTAAATGTGCCAACAGAAAGCTCAGTAGGAAACGTCTGCAAACGGCAAAAATGTTCATCAGAAAATGACAATCTGAACAAAGGAAGAGAAAATCCTATATATGCAGCACGGAAGTAAGCAAATTTATAGATCATGTTGCAATGGAAAAAGGAATCAATAATTTCTAATATTCTGGGGTGGGGGGATGGTTTTTATTACATTTCTGAAGCAAAGAAGTCAACTAATAAGATTTTACTTTTTTTGTTTCTAGAAAGTCAGAAAAGGATCCATCTTTTTTTAAAGTAAGAAAGTGAATGATTTTTCGGCTTTACACAAAAACACAAACCCAAAGCCAGAGAGAAGCTGAAAGGGTTCTTAAAAGGACACCCAAGCTCCGCCCACCTCAGAGCAAGGACAAGACTCAGCAAGACAAGGATTCCATGCCTTTCCGGAACCTTTCTCAGTATTTAGCCATCCTGAGAGTGAGAGTCAGTTACCCTCCAGGCCTCTGTTGACTCCTAAATAAGTTCAAGTCACTAAGCTCACTCTCCACCTCTGTGTGATAGTTTCAAAAAGTCAGGAATAGAAAGTATTCAGAACTATTATTCTAATTTTTGTTGACATATGAGTCGGAATTGAAATGAATATCCTACTGACATTAGGTAAAGAGCCCAATACCAGAAACTCAAGGAGACGCTACAAGGCAAAATTTTTATAAGTACTTCTAGAGTGCCCAAAATGTGTGCCCTTCACCATTTCATAAGTTACATGAAAAAAAGTATCACTCATTTGTGCTGATTAGCACTTTCCCAGAATTTTCCTGATTTCCAAAAGAACACACATCCATATCAAAGTCTAGGATTCAAGGCAGATTTCCTGAATCCAAAATTGAGGAAAAGCTCGGACAAATATTAGGCAGAATACACCACGAAGAGGAAAGAGGGAGGGAGTATAGCTAAAAATTGATTGTGTGTGTACAGACACGAATCTGGGAAACATTTGTCTATTGAGACTCATTAGCCTTAACCACAATTATACACAGATTTGTGCAGTATCCTAAAGTTCTCCTCTTTCTAAAGATACAGTGTAATTAGATGCCAAGGGACAGATCACTTGTGCTTTTTAATTTTGTAAATTCCTTTGGTTTTCTCCTATGAGTTCATCCTTTTCTCTGAGCATCCACACAACAGCAAGACCCAAAACATAGATGGCAAACAAGGAAAGCAGAGACCTGGGAACAGGGAAGGCCTGAGCTCCAGATCCTGCTGTGTTGTATCCTCAAGTCCAGAGACCTCAAAGTCACCATTCAACTCCCCATCTCTCAGCTTCCTCATCTGAAAAATGGTAACATTTACTCGCTTTCTTCACAAGACTATTTTGAGAATCAAATGAGATCAGTAATTGAAGTTGTGCGAAAGCTTCAAAATGCTACAAAAACATTAGATACTGTTATCACAATCTATTCTGGAGCAAAAAGGTGCCAAATATATGAGAATGTGAATCCTAGATTCACTATTTGTATGAAGTGAGGTGGAGAGAGGCACACAGAACAGCTATTTCTCATTTTAAGTTAATTGAATATTGAATTAAATCCCAAGGAATGGAGAGAAATAAACTCACCTGTCTATGTTCTATTAAAATTTACTTTCACAATATCAGGAATTATTTTGTCTCTAAATTAACAGTCTAGTCATGTTTTTCAAGCTTAAAAATTTTAAACTGCATGAATTATCCAAATTTGGTTGCTTACAATCTAGGCTCTGTAAATAGTATCATGGGGATTTGTGTGAGGGTTGAGTTAATATGTGCAAAGTCCTTAGGACCTTGCTGGCTTGTGGTACCTGCTATGTGAATAGGTATAGCAGTGAAGAATCAGCCAGATCTGGATTCAAACCATTGCTCCAATCTCTACTAGATATGTGATCATGAGGAAAATAAAAGTATTTACACCTCATATAGGTTGTTATGAGGATTAAAAAATGATATATATAGATAGATATAAAGATGATATAGATATAGATATAAATTTAAAAGATACCTGCTATATTGAAAGTGTTCAATAAGTGATGGTATTGATGGTTTTGCTTAGAATAATTATATTTAATAGTAGTAATGCTGGTAAAGTATGGAGCAGTACCCTAAATTCGTCAATTTTCAATGGCTTATTTAAGCCTTATACAGTTTTGAAGAGCTAGCTGCACCAATCTTGGCAGTAACAAAAATGTATGTGATTAACTGAAAGTGGTAAGTAGAGGATCAAGTTCTCAGCCACAATCCCAAGTTTAATTCTGTTTTCAACTTACCACTTCCAAAATATTTTCAGTAGCCAGAAACATATTTACCCATGAGAAGCATACAGTTTATTACTTTACATTCCACTTTTTTATAACCTCAGCTCTTCCACAAAGCATCTGTTGTCTAATCAATCTAGCAAGCACTGTTATTATTCCACTTGACTAACGCCATGCGTTTCTAAAGAATTTATGATTTTCCAGTCTTTGTCAACACCATTTCTTGCAAATTTAAATAAAATATGAAGAGCTCCTGAGCTTTTTAAAGTCAGGGCTTTTTTTTTTCCGTTTTTCATTTCCCCAATTAATTTTCATTTCCCCAAAAGAGAGGGTGAAAAGAAAGGAAAAACCAAAGATTTTATAAAAAAAAACAGGGGAAGGTTCAAAAGATAGTAAAAGAAGTATGTTTGTAAGCTGTTAAGGAATTTTGCAGGGTCAACAGCTTAGGGGACTGTCCACCTCACCTGAGGTGCTATCTGATTCTTCTTTGTCTTCACAGCTTCATTTCATGGCCACAGACAAATATGCTAGCACCTCCTTACTAGGAAGTTTATTTTCAGTTCCTTGTACTTATTATCAGATGTTATTCTCCATCACTTTTTTGGACCTCAGAGCAGTTAAAGCACAGCTTGCCAGAGAAAAGGGGAATCTTAGAAACCATGTTCCTATACCCATTTCCTTTTGTGCAGACTTCCAAGCTGGCAGGTGGTCTGATGGAGAAGACTGGGGACTTCCAGAAGATTGCAAAGTAACTCTTGGTCAAGAATCCCACCCTTCCCTCTCCTGGTGGCTTCCCCGTCTTGCTTCACTTCAGCATCAAATTTCTTATGTTTCTGTTTTAAGTTTGTGTTATTTACTCCCATCGCCAAGCAAACCAATCCATTGCTTAATTTTTATTTTATAACCAAAGTGCTCCATCTTAGAAATCAAATACTGTCACCCACAAACAGACTTTTGATGAGATACTAGCACGTGAATTCGTTTGTTTCCTTCCTATGTGCTTATTCTCATGATGCAATCATGTAAGCAGGAACTACAATCAAGTCATCTTAATTACCTGACTCTTTTATGGCTTCTGAAATTTAACTTTATGCCCAGTGACTACAAAACAAATTATCATAACTTTTAAAACAATGATTTCAGTCACCTATCATACACAAGTATTTGGTATACACACAGTAGCCATAAACATTAAAACATTTCCATGTGACAAATATCATAGAAATCCAACAAATCCAACATATATCTGCTGGAATCCATGCAAAGGAGTTATTCAACAATCTCAAGCATTTCAGTGAGTCATGTCTTTCCCATTTCAAAATAGAGAAAGGGTCCTCAACAGAAGATTCTCAACTTCCAAAAATTCGGATTCGGATATAGAGAAGACTGGAGGGAAAGAATACTGGTCCTCAGGCATGAAGGCCCAACGAACTATCTAAAGGATGGACCAGGATAATTCTACCCTCCTAGGTAGCTAGCAGGAAAACTTAACCTCTGGATGAAAGATTCCCCTTATTACAGTCTCATTGAGACAGTTGCTACTGCTACTTATTTTTTTGGCTAAGTCACCCATGTGAAATTCAACTACATAATTCAGATATGTGGAGCACTTAAGTCACGTCCTACTTCAACAAGATAAGAAACAATAAGTATTTGATTAAATGTTCTCCAACAAGTATATAAAAATAAAATGTGATTACCTTTCCAAAGTCACGAACATCAAACAGGTCAAACGCCTCGAAGAGTTCACTCTTTCTCATTCCAAATGTCTCACAACAGGCCGTGAGGAATGTCCTTATGTTCTTCAAACAGAGAAACTGAGGAATGGGAAACAGCTGTTAGTATGTAGTGAATCATTCTGAATGCCAGCTATCCTCTGGCCCACCCAGAATGCTATAAAAATGGCAAGGAAGAACCCCTCGGCTTTTTTCAGTAATTCCTTTAGCATTATTTATCGAATATATAGTCTCTCTCCCACAGAGGGGACACAGCTGTGAACAAGGCAGACAAAATTTCTATCCTCATAAAGCTTACATTCTAATGAGAAAAGACAGACAAGAACCAGCCTAGCAAGCAAAACTAAAAACAGTAAATGTTTTTATTTTCATATAGTACAATAATAAGCGCAATAGAGAAAAAGCCAGGAGGAGGGTCCAGGAGAGGTGGTGGGGGTGGGAGAGCTTAAATATGGTGGCTACAGGTGTGAGAAGAGGACAGGGAAGCAGGGATTTGCAGGTGGTGACAGAGCAGCCATGGCAGGATTACAGGCCAGAGCACATCAGCCTAAAGTAGGACCCCACCCCAGAGCCCTGAGCAGAACTGTCTGTGTAAGGAGTCACTGTGGCTAGAGCAGAGGGAGTGACAAAGGGAAAGGTAGGTGGTGAGCTAGGAAGGTAATGGGATCAGAGGGTGACAGACTTTCACTCTGAGACAGGAAGTCACTGCAGGCCTTGGGCCAGAGGAGCAAGATGATGAGATGCTTTAAAAAGGGTCTTCAGGCCTTTGTTTTCGGTGGAGAATGAAAGGGGCTGGAGAAAGGATGGAGACAGGCAAACCAGATAGGAGGCTATTGCAATAATCCAGGTGAAAGACACCGGTGGAAAGACCGGCTGTTACATTTTGTCTCTGTTAAATGTGAGGTGCCTATTAGTCATCCAATGCGATGTGAGGCAGCAGGCAACTGAATATACCAGTCTGGAGTCCGGGGTACAGGTGTGTACTCCAGACATAAAGTTGGCAGTCTTGAGAGTAAACAGAACGCTTTTAACTATGATATTGTCTAAGGGGCCAGGCAATCTTAGGAGATCGGGAAAAGAGGGTGTGCTCACAAAGAGGCCAAGAAGAGTGACCAGTGAGGAAGGGCAAGCAGGCCAATGGGTTTTCCCTGAAGCCAAGGAAAGAAAGTGTTCCTAGGAAGGAGCGATGAACTGTGTCAGCAGCTGCAAATGGTCCAATAAGATCTTAACCAAACGCTGTCCATGGAATCTGGCAGTGTGAAGGTCATGAGTACACCTAGACAAAAGCAGGTACCATGTGGGCGGCTGGGGTGAAAGGCTGCTTGGAGCGGATTCAAGAGACAATGGAAAGAGAGAGAGTGAAGAGAGAATATAGGCTCCTGAGGAGTTTTGCTACAGAGGGAACCAGAGGATTGAGGAGTTAGGCAGAAAGAGAGAGAGGTTAAGGAAGGACTTTTTAAAAATAATGTTGGCTGTTACAGCATGTTTCTACTCTGAGAGGAGTGAGTTGGTAGAGAGTGGAAAGTTAGTCATGCAAGAGAGAGGGACAGCCACCCAAATGAAGCCCTTGCGTTGGTAAAGGGAGGGGGACCTGGTTGGCAAGTGGAGAAGGTGACCTTGGGGAAGAGCCTGCTCAGCTCACCACCATCAGCAGGAGGGCTATGGACAACCTTTAACACCAACAGAATTCACTTTCATTACGTAAAAGACTCAGCTCCACCCAAGCAAAGTACACACATATCCTGAGTGAATTCTTTTTGGAAAGATGAGCGGCAACGGCACACATAAAAATAAAATTATTGCCCTCTAGTATGCGAGAGACCTATGAACTAATTATTGCTTCTTTGTTTTCTTTTTTTAAGCACTGTCAATGTTTTGTTTTTCGTCTCAGTTTGCTTTTTAATTCACAGAAGGTACATTTTACTTCCTCTACATTTGAAACGTTCAGATTTTTCATGGGCTTAACTCAGTCGCAGTTTTACCCTTTACAGGAATCCTTCTCAGATGCTTAATATTTCAGGAGGGGTTAAAACCACAGGGGAAGCTTCATTACCCCTTTGAAGCACAAAGACAGCAGCCAAAGGCATGTGCAGTTACTGCTTTCACTTTAAAAAATTCATAAGGGACCTTTATGACACAGAATCACTCTGCATGTAGCTCTTCCACACAGAATTGCTTATTTACAGATTAAAAGCCTTGCATTCTGCCAAGATAGACAACAATTATTCTCTTGGGGATTGTGCAACGGCTCTCTTGCAATATTTTTTACATAATTAAGTGCCCAACTCATAGCTCACCAAGGAACAAAAGCATAATTGCACATGCCACCCTCTAAAAATTTCTCACCAAACTCAAATTTTCCCCCAGTGGAGGAAAACCTACAGTAAACTTCCACTCAGGTGCTTTGATCTTTAATTCAGAAAAGCAAGTATTGCTGAAATGTACTCATTATTACATACATACAAGAGAAAATTTAAAAACAGTCCTTCCCCTTCTTTCTGGAACCAGTCTTAACCTTACTTACCCCTCAACCAATTCAATTCCATTCAATTCCACAAATATTTATTGGATTTGAAAAAGGTCATTAGTATGCTCTCGCTTTTTCAAACAATCATCAAATTTGGTCACCCCTTTATGTTTTTTTCCTCAGTCAACAGTTTTTTAATGCCTACAACATTCCAGACACTGAAAATGTTAAAAATGAATAAAAAAACGTTCCGCCCCAAGCTTCTCTATTAATCTTAGCTGGAGATTTTCACAGTTATCCCAAATTTGGCTAATAACACTCGGATCACGCTTCACGCTCACGGATGTCTGGCTCTGTCCGAGTACAGGAACAGAGTTGTGGGCTAGAGGAAATGGACCCTAATGCCGCTGTGGACGCCCAGGACAGAGCCGGGCCTGCCAGCCTGCCCACCCACCCCAAGACTTCTGCTTTGTTGTCATCGTGTTAAATTTTTTATTCCAGTTTATTGTATTTTTTAAAAATTCAACCCAAAAGTTGAAAGAATGCAATGAACATTCCATCTACTCAACAACTCGAACATACTGCCCAAGTGCTTCTGTGTGCCAACTCTTCATTTATTCATAAAATTTGTTGTGCAGACTTCAAGGCACTTCACTTCTAAATAACTCAATATGCATCTCCTAGGAATAAAAATATTTTCCTACAAACCCACAATACCACTATCACACCTAGGAAAATTCATTCCATATTACCTAATATCCATTCCATATTCAAATTTCAATTGCCCACCCAATGTATTTTTACACTATTTGCCCCCAATCTAGGATCCAATTAAGTTTTACCCATTGCAGCTGGATGCTTTATCTTTGCAGTATCTTTTAATCTAAAAATCCTGCTGCCTTTTTTTTTTAATGACATTGACTTTTTGAAGACTCCAGACTACTTATCATATAGAAATGTCCCACATTTTGTATTTGTCTCATTATTCCCTCATAGTATCATTAAATGGGTTCTTCCATCACTGGTATTTCTTGTGAATCAAAAGCTAAGTCTAGGGCCGGCCAAGTGGCGCGTTGGTTAAGAACTGGCTTGGGATGCCAGAGGGCCCCGGTTCGGATCCCACATAAGAGGGCCAGTGACATTGCCCTCCACAGCTAAGATGCTGAACAACAGCTCAACCTGGAGCTGGGCTGCCGTGAGTCGCTGGCGATGGCGTAGGCTGCAGCCCCTGTTGCAGTGGGTTGCCATGGGCTACCCTGTGTAGCTGGCAGCCAGCGTGAGCGGCCGTCCAGAAGCCGGCGACTGATCTGCCTCGCGGTGAGCGCAATGATGGTGCCAACTTGGGCCAGTGAAGCAACGTCCTCCACAACTAGACTGAAGAACAAAAGGATAGCAACTTGTCTGTTCCCTTTCCCCCGATTCCCCAGCACTGCTCCCCTCCCCCCGATTCCCCAATAAAATATTTTAAAAAAAAGCTAAGTCTACATATAAGTTAAACAGTTTTAATAAAAATACTTCATACTGTGAACTTCATATTTCATCACATCCCAAGACACAAAATGTTAGATTATCCCATTATTGCTGCTGCTAAGCTTGATCTCTTGGTTAAGATAGTTACTGCTACATCTCTCTATTGGGGTACATGTCCCCCTTTATACCAGTAAAAAACCTGAGGTAATAATTTGGTACCATGAGGCTTTCCTATTTCCCAACAATTTTTCACAATGTACTTAGCATCCACTGATACTTCTTACTTTAATTATTCCATTTGGGGCTGCAAAATAGTGATGTTTTTCTAATTCTATCATTCCTTCCAGAGTTATTAGCTGGTATTCTTACCTAGAGAAAAGCTTTCCCTGCCCTTACTCTCCACGCCACACCCCCTTTTTTTTGCTTGTGTAATAATCAATTGCCATCATTATTCTTTTTGATGTTCGTATTGTCCCAAGTTTGACCACTGGGGGTCCTTTCAAACTGGTTCCTGTGTCCTCTTGACATGACTCCCATTTTCTTCATTTTCGTAAATCAAGTTGTCCCAGGTCCATATTTCCTCTGCTCTAGTTCTGCAATCAGCCATTTCTCCAAGCAGGTCTATTGCTATTTATGTGGTACATGTATTTAGAAACCAAAGTCTGAGCTGCTACTCCAAGATTACACAAACCAATTACATCAAATGAACCAATACCTCCACCCTTTGCTTAGGCAATGAATCACTTGCAACAGAAAGAGTTAATGTAAACAAGATTGGCCTAACTGGTCTCTAATGTACCCCTCAGATAATCCTATAATTTTCTTTGCGGAATGCCTAATAAGACAACTACTTTAAGAACAGAGTTCACTGAAGACAACTGATGAACCCAGGAGTTGGTTTTATGCCTAGAGATGTGATTCGTGTTTTGACACAAAATTATTTTAGAGCAAGTCTTTCTCCCCAGTTTGTAACTTCTATGAAATTAGAAGCCATCTGATAGTCCTTTTTATTATCTGCAGCAGCTTAAAACATTCTGCCTTCAGAGATGGTTGATGACACCCAAGGACAGACTCGCACATCTCATTAGTTTATAACCTTACCTTATGTTCGACCAAAAATTATACCACTTTGCTAAATCATCTA